AGCAAAGAAAGAAACCTCTACAAATAGACATATTGAGTGGGAAGCTTAGGGTTTTTGAAGAGAAAAGAATTTGGGTTTGTTTTTGGGATTCTCAAACTCCAAAAAAAAAAAAACTTCTTTCTCTCTTTCTTTTTTTTTTTTATTTGCTTTTGTTTTGTTTTCTTTATAAAGAACTAAGAAGAAAGAGAGAGATAGAGAAAGAGAGAGTTTCCCGAAAGCTGAATTGAGGTTGGGGTGAAGCAATTCTCATCAGGTCTGTCTGTCATGTCTTTACTTCTTCTTCTCATAAAGGAAAAAAAAAACACTAACAACACTTTGTTTGATCGTCTCATCAAGTTCCCATCTTTGTATACAAATCTCTTCCTTCAAAAACTTCTACATTTATATCTCTATCTCTCTCTCTATATATATATGCAGATTCCAACATACTAATTCTTAACTTAGTTATCACAATTATGAAATCTTTTCTTCTCTCTTCTTTCTTCTGTTTCATGCTCTTTCCCCATGAAAAGAAAGAAAAGATCACAAAGGGTTTTAAGTATTAGGTTATATTTTTCTAAGTAATTTTCACTTGTAGATAGATAGATAGATAGAGATCTCTGTTAGATTCTCTTTCCTTGTTTGTCAGCTAAAGTGGAGTTCTTTGGTCTCAAAATCTTCTAAATCTGTTTTTGTGTTTTTCTTCATACCTCGAAACTAAGCAATGGTTTTGTCTCTCTGACTCTCTCTCTCTTTCTTGTTTCTGTGTAATAATGTTTCTTGTGTTGTTTCTTTTATGTGTACTATTATAACTTCAGTTTCATGTGCATCAGTGCCCTCTTCTTCTTCTATATCAATTTGGTTTGTTTCTCTCTCTCTATCTCCCCTTATTCTTGGTAAAATTCTTAGATTTCAAGAATTGTCTTCATACATTAGATTAGAGATCAATGAATTTTGTAAAAACTTCTATATGTGTGTAAGTATTTACATCTTCCATTTTTATCCATAAAAATTGCTTTTAGATCTCTAAGTAAAAAATTTCGTATATATGTTTGATTTTTCAATTTGACCCCATGAAGCCTTATAGACATTTATTGAAGAGAGAGTGGGAGAGAGATAGATCGTGCGAGGGATGGGTCAAAATAGTTTGTCAGATTCACCTCTATCAGGCTACTATACTTTAAGAAGTCATGATGATGAGAAGTTAATAAATTGTGTAGATTAATTACTTAAGATTATAAACCTATTTAAGAACAACTACATATGAATATGATCTTTATTTTGTATGGTTAATATATGTTCATAGTGAAATGATTTAGATATATTCTTAATCCTCTAGTTTCAGCAACATCAGATCCAGTTTGATTCTTGTCTAGTCCTAGAGATCGATCAATCAACAACATCCTTAATTTATTTTCCCGAGAAAGTTGGATGCAACCAAAAGAAAATCTTTTTTTTTTCTTTATATATGACAAAAGTTGAGTTTGGTATAGTTCTTTATTAAGTTAAGTATTTCAACTCAAACTCTAGCTTTAGGGTTTTGTTTAATCTCCTCCATTTTTCTCAATTAATCTACAAAAAAATGTCACACTTTTTTCTGGTATTTATTCTTTTATATCCTCTTGTGAAATGTTTGTTAAGTAAATGGTATATATATCTTATCAATAATGTTGAAATTGAGCAAATCTAAGTGTTGTTTTTGATGTTTAAAATGGTGAAGGATGGGAAGAGGAAAGATAGAAATAAAGAGGATAGAGAACTCGACGAATCGACAAGTGACATTTTGCAAAAGAAGAAATGGACTTCTCAAGAAAGCTTATGAGCTTTCAGTTCTTTGCGATGCAGAAGTTGCCCTCATCGTTTTCTCCACTCGTGGCCGTCTCTATGAGTATGCCAATAACAAGTAAGTAAGCTATATCTTGTTAACTTAAGCTATGTTAATTATAAATGAGATGTATAGAAATTAAGTTTGAGTTTTGTCAATGTGTGTTTCTTCATGATTTGTTTGAAAAATGATCAAGTCTCAAATAAACTGATTTATAATTGAGTTAAAATATTAAGATATTGAGATGTTAACATGAGGCTTTTCTTGGTCTATATAACAAGGTTGAACCATAATTTTAAAATTAAAATTTAGACAAAACAAAATATCGTATAACAATACAATTTACATATGAAGTTTTCATTTCAAGAGTCTCATGTTTATATACTTGATTTATCTTGGTCTATATATTAAGGTTGAACCATATTTTTTCAAAAATAAAATCTAGACAAAGCAACACCATATAACAGATAATATACTTGATTTTTCTTGGTTTATTTCAAGAATCATATTTGTTAAAATAAAATCTAGAAAAAGCAACACCATGTAACAAAAAATGTACTTAATTATGAAGTTTTTATTTCAAGAGTCTCATGATTTTTACTCTAATTAGCTAATTAAATTTACATACGCATACCATATATATTTGAAACATAAATATAAACAAAGTTCAAAGTACTAAATATATATAGATATATACATACTATTTTTACATATATTACCTATGAATCTTGAGAAGAAGAAAAAAAACTTAAAAAGTCAGTTTTATCAAAAATGAAAAAAATCTTAAAAGAGAGATCGTACCATATGGGTTTAAACTTTAAAGTACCAAACTCATGCTAGCTAGCTTGCAGAGACTTGCAGTGTTTGGTCAACAAAGTCTTTTTCATTGTGTTTTGCTTTTTTGTCAAAGTTTTGTGTTCTTTGGAACTTAAAAAAATATACATTTGTGCAGTGCAATGAGAGCTAGAGATGTGTTTGTTTTTGTTGTACTCTTCTTTCCTCTTTCATCTTAAGCAGATCAAATCTATTTCTTCATGTCTTTTCTTTCCTTTTTTGGCTTTTTCATCTTCTATCTTTCATTTCCTTTTATAATTCTTCAAGTCACTTCAACTATATTATCTTATATTGTATATATATATATATACATATATCTAAAACATCCACTTTCTACTGTCTTAGATTCAGTTGAATAAATATATCAAAATACATATAAAACATATATTATTGTTTGTCAATGCTTAAGGCAACATATATGATGATCATCTTCTTAATTACTTTTTTGCTAATGTAAATATTTTTGAATATTAACAAAACCTAAAACAAAGATAAAAACATGCATGAGATCATATTTTAGATTATTTTAGGGTGTAGTTAGCTAAAATTAAACAATTTGAGGTGTGATTGCATTTGAATTAGACACTACTTAGTACTTACATATAATGAATTTGAATACCATGTGATTAATTGCATAATAAGTACTATGTGTTATTGAGTTTGTTAACGTATGACATGTTGATTTGTAACAGCATAAGATCAACCATTGAGAGATACAAGAAAGCTTGTTCTGATAGCACCAACACCAGCACTGTCCAAGAAATCAATGCTGCGGTTCTTACTTCTTTAATTTCTTGTCTCAATCTCTCTACTTAACATCTATATGTGAATCTATGTTCTTACTATGAAGTTGGTGCTTAACATTACAGTACTATCAACAAGAATCTGCAAAGCTGAGACAACAGATCCAAACGATTCAAAATTCCAACAGGTTTATTACATATGAACTACATATAAAATAATAAAGCTCTTCTAGCCATATGTTTGGTCTAGTAAAAGTGTTAACGTTTGTAGGAATCTAATGGGAGACTCTTTGAGTGCCTTAAGCGTCAAGGAACTTAAACAGGTTGAGAACCGCCTTGAGAAAGCTATCTCCAGGATCAGGTCCAAGAAGGTATACTCTTAAACATAACCTTCTTCTGTATCAGTTTCTTGAATCTACACACACATATTCTAAATCTGCTTTGTGTTTCTTGCGAGAGATACAGCATGAGTTGCTTCTAGCAGAAATCGAAAACATGCAGAAACGAGTAAGTAAAGCTTAGCTCAAAAAGGGTTAATTTGCTTCCCAAGATTGAATCTTTGAATATATATGGTTATATTATGCAGGAGATTGAGTTAGATAATGAGAATATCTATCTAAGAACTAAGGTAAGAACATAGTTTCATATAATGTGTTTTGTTAATTCCTCATTTGTACATATCAGATCAAATTAATATGTTTCTTTTAACAGGTAGCAGAAGTGGAGAGGTTTCAACAACAACACCACCAAATGGTTAGTGGTTCAGAGATCAACGCGATGGAGGCTTTAGCAGCACGCAATTACTTTGGTCATAGCATTATGACTGCTGGTTCTGGATCTGGTAATGGAGGTTCTTACTCTGATCCAGACAAGAAAATTCTTCATCTCGGATAAATCTCGTGAGCCCGCGAAAAAAGCCGAGGTGCAAATCTCAGTTTATAAACCTCTGCATGCATTTTCTGAGGTTTCTCTACTCAGCTTTATCTATTTTCTACATAATAATATGTTTTGGTTTTATAATAATTTCAAAGTACAATGAAGGTATTGTGATCCTTCAAGACTCATTTGGAAATTGTGTTGTGTGATGGTCAAGACAATGCTTTGGTTTTTTTAATGTTGCATTATGGTGTTTGATTTAGTGATTCATCAGATCATAGAACAGAGTATTTACTTACATATGATTTTAAAGAACAGAACATGTTTTTATCTCTACCTAGTTATTAGATTAGTATACAATGAAGGTATTGATCCTTCAAGAGTACTCTAGTTTATTGTTTCACATCATACATACAGAACATTAAAATGTGTGATTAAAGAACAGTGCACTTCTTGTTAAGTTCTGTGCGTAAAGAAGCAGTCTCTCTCTCAGCTTTGTTGAGTTGTTCTCTAAGCCTCCTGATCTCATCAGTAGATAGTTTTTGTATTTCATTCATCTTTTTCTCTGTTTCCTCTCTAGCTTCTTGTGCTTTAGCTAATTGCTCCTTCACATCCCTCAATGAATCTTTCAGCTGACTAGAGATCTAATCAAAAAGACAACAAAACCATAATGTAATAACTATATATTCATATAAACATTAGACATATAAACTCAAGTACCTTCTCCTTTATCCCCTCGAGCATTTCGTTATGCGATTTCTCTACTTCATTTTTCATTTGAGATATCTCTTGTTTTGAAGACCAACCTTTCATTGCTTCAATCTGTTTCTGCTTTTCCTCGATTGTCGCCTCGTTCTCCTGTAAGAAGGAAGATGAAATATAAAACTAAGAAAACAGAATACAATAATGTGAATTCTTGTTTTGTAAAAAGAATCTATCTATCTTTTTTGTTCACCCTTAGCTCAAGTGATAAGTCAGCCATATAAGACTCTCCATTGTTCTTCTTTGAAATTTGTTCGACGAGGTTGAGAAGATCTTGGACTTGCTTTTCTTTCTTTCTCGCAGGGGCGTTGCGCCTATTGTCAAACAACACCTTACGGTCATCACATTCTTTGAGAATTTCCTATATATATATAAAGAAAGCAATTTAAGAAGTTATAAAGATGTGATTCATACAACATTAACCGCTCTTTAACGGTAATAAACCAACCTGAAACTCAGGACAATCTTCCAAATAGTCATCTAGAGTTTCACCATCTTCAAGTGCATCCTCATTGGTGAAAACAACGATTATATAATCCACGATTTGACTCCCGAAAATGATCTTTAACGTGCGAAGCGTCGACTGTTCCTCTTCTGTTAACCGATTCCTTACAGAGAAAACAAGAAGCACTGCATCTATACCACTTTTAGCTAGAAGTAAACATCTAACGATTTCTCTGATTGTAAAATCTGTCGTCGAGGAAGCACTAAACAGACCTGAAAATACCATTACATTCATCTCAATGTATATAAGTTATAAGAAAATTGTTGGAATTGATATACAAAAAAGCGTTACAAAACTCACCAGGAGTATCAATAACATTGATGGTCAGACCATTTAGTAGCTCTGATTTATGTAGCTTACACTCTTTGGTAATGAATTTGCCTCTTGCTTTGGACTGAAACATAGTTTTACCAAGGATGCTGTTTCCCGTTGCGCTTTTACCATTCCCTGTTCGACCGAGCAGAACTAGAGTTCTTTCGGGTTTCCAAGCATTCTCCACATTAAGTGCAGACGAATCAAACGCCATCTTTTTCAATCTATCCCTATAAGATAATGGCTAGTGATGATGGTTCTTGAAATGACAAAAGAAAGATAAAATAGAATCAAGAACGTTATTTCAAGTGAGAAAGGGTTGAAATAGTTTTGTAATTTATAGAGACAAAACAGAATATTCATTAGACAAATGAAGGAAGAAAAGAATAACTTTGAGAAGATCTTTATAGTAAGAATCAAAACCAAAAGGACTTTGACTTTGACAAGCAAGGAATCTAATAGAAAAGATAACAATCTTTACCAAGTTTGGTCTGTTCAATCTTAGCTTTTACCATGGCTGAAGAAAGAACCTTGAAGCTGCCACTATGATTGACCAATAGTGATCCGAGTCCGACAAAGCTAAACAAGAATCTTTGAGGTTTGTTGCTTTCATCATTCATGACATATAGATAACCTGCAGAAGAAGTTACTCCTACAGATGACCTAAACTTATTCATATTCAATTTTGAAACGTAAGACACACGACAAGGTGCTCTTCACTTGAATGTTTCTCGGCTTTGTTTGCTCTTATCTCCATTTCAAGTCTAGCAGCTTACTCTTCCTTAAGCTGCTGCTCTATCCTTTTTTGTGTCTCACTCACCTTAGTATACACCTAAGCAATCTGACCAAGTAACAAAACAATATGGACAACTCTAAAACACATTATACTCTCCATCATGTGACTGAGCTGCAGATTTTAATGAGATTCCAGTATTCCACCATATCTTTTATCATCTGAGACATGTCTTGTTGGTTCAACTTCATATCTAAAATCTGCCTCTGCTTTTCTTGAAATGCAAGTCTCATTTTCCTAAGAAGCAGAGGTATTAACCAAGATAAGCAATCATAAGACATCAAAAGAGAGCAATGGTACTGCATCAGTCCCTTCTTTGATCAGAGATAAGCACCTTAAAATCTCTCTGCAGGTAAACTCGGTTGATGGAGACAGACTAAACAGACCTGCAGAAACAATCAAAAGGCATAGATTTTAAGATTTTAAATATATCATAAATGACTCACTGGCCTTGATGGTTTTCAGATTCACATACACACACATGTACATGACACATTACTTAGGCAGCGTCCAACTCTGTAGCTCACAGACTGTAGTCACCCCTGATGCACGACTTTTCTACTCGAAGGCCGATCTTCCCTGTCGCGTTATTACCGTTACCTGAACGTCATAGTGTCCTACCAAAAGTAGGTTTCTTGCAGGCAGTAGTATCTGTTCTAAACGTGAATCACAAGTAACCTCCAAAACAGAACAATGCTCTTAAGAAGATTTCGTCGCCATTAGTAACTTCAAGCGACCAAAAAAAAGATTTCCTAACCTTAGCCAATGTTAAGGTTTTTTTTTTCCTAACCTTAGCAAAACCCCCAAAAAAACCCCAATGTTACCGTATTTAGAAAGAAAACAAAACAATTTTTCAAAGACTCTGTCTCAAGAACTCATCTGACTTTCTTTTCCATACTAAGTGTAAGTGAGAAAGCATATAACCAACCAAACATAGAAAACAAAAACATCAGTCAATGATAAGACAAATCCAGCAACAAGTTTAAGCCTTTCAATCATTATATCAATCATCACATAATGATGCAACGCTTCTTAGAATTTTTGAGATCATTGGCCAATTTTTTCGCCTTCTCCAGTTCCTCCTTTAGCTTCTTTACTTCATCAGCGCTTCTCACCATTTGAAGTCTCGCAGCTTCCAGCTTCTCTACTTCTTGAGCGCTTCTCACCATTTGAAGTCTCTTAGCTTCCTCATGGTTCAGCTTCTCTACTTCATAAGCGCTTCTCGCCATTTGAAGTCTTGTAGCTTGCTCATGGTTCAGCTTCTCTACTTCATAAGCTCTTCTCTCCATTTGAAGTCTCACAGCTTGCTCTTCGTTGAGCTTCTTCACTACATCACTCGACTTTTCCTCAGCTTCTTTTGCCCTAATCTCTAGTTCACGTCTTGCAGCTTTCTCTTCATTCAGCTTCTGCTCTAGACTCTCTTTTGTCTCCCGCAGCTGAGTCTCCACCTAAGAAAGAAATCAGACGAATGTTATACGTAAAAAATTAATCATCAAGTTTTGAATACAGTTAACACTATATAACACAGTACCCTCTCCATCATGTGCCTGAGCTGCTCATTTTCAAAAGACCTCTCCATATCTTTCTTCATTAGAAGCATCTCTTGTTTTGAGTACCATCCCTTCATCTCTAAAATCTTCTTCTGCTTTATCTGGAAGGCAGCTTCATTTTCCTGTGAAACATATGTAATAACAAATAAGCAAATCAAAGACATCAACTAGGGATATGTATGTGTACTAAAAGTTTATGCCTCACCATTATCTCATGAGATAGATCAGACATGTATGGTTTCCCATTCAACCTTGCAACTTCTTCAACATAGTTTAGAAGCTCATCAACTTGCTTAGCTTTCTGACTCTCAGAGGCGTTAGACCTGTTTCTAAACAATACCTTGCGGTCACTACAAGTCTTGATAATTTCCTACAAACCATACAACACAACTCAATAAGAAGCGAGAGAAGCAAGAGAAGCAAGAGAAGGTGAAAGTGTTTTAACTTGGGTTTCAAGATATTAACCTTGAAATCAGGACAGTCTTCCAAATAATTCTCAAATGTATCATCACCATCATCCTCATCAAGAGAATCTTCATTTGTGAAAATAACAATCATGTAGTTAACAATCCGAAAAGGATCTTTAATGCGAAAAGCGAAGATTTCTCCTCTTCTGTGAGCCGGTTCCTCAAGGAAAATACAAGAAGCACTGCATCAATCCCTTCTTTGCTTAGAGAGAAGCACCTCAGAATCTCTCTACACGTAAACTCGGTTGATGGGGACAGACTAAACAGGCCTGCATAGGTTTAAGACTGTTAATACTTAATATTATCAAAGACTCATTGGCTTGGTAGTCTAGTCATCATAGACTCATTACCTGGAGTATCAATAACATTGAGGATCTGGCCATTGGGTAAAGTCGAATTCTGCAGCTCACAAGCCGTAGTTACACCTGACGCACGGCCTCTTGAGTTGAACGCTCGTCTTCCAAGAATACTATTCCCGGTCGCACTTTTACCATTACCTGACCTTCCAACCAAAAGTAGGGTTCTTGCAGGTTTCTGCTCTAAACGTGAATCACAAGGAACCTCCAAAACAGAACCATTCTTAGGCAAATATTCTGAAACCTTTTGTAACTCTGTCAAGCCAACCTTCGAAACCGGTCCATCCTCTAGTAAAGATTCTGAGACCTTTGGCAACCCTGTCAAATCAAATTCCAAAACCGGTTCATACGCTGGCAAAGTATTTGTGACCATTGGCAACTCTGTCAAATCCAAAGCTATTCATGTCAAACAATGAACTAAGAAACCTTGTATGAAAGGTAATGAACTTTAACTACATCTCTAAAGTAGTTCTGTGTTATGTATTCTATGGAACCTATTTTACAGTACTACTCTTGCAAGACACAGATTCATATTCTAATTTGATAAGTAGAAAAAAAATAGATTTAAAGATACAGAGACTTACGTGTACGATCAGTTAGCAAATCATCTGTTACTTGTGTTTCAGGTTTCTTCTGCTGTAAACCTAAATCACACGTAACCTCTAAAACAGAACCATCCTTGGAGACTAGTACCAACTCCGTCGAATCCATTCTAAAGTTTCTGCTGAATAAGCAAAGTAAGTAAATTGTAAGATTAGGTTAACGTGTATATAGAAAGAAGGAAACACAAAGACGAGATCAAGAACATTCACCTTTATGAGAAATATTTTGTCTCTTCTCTTAGAAAATATTTCTCAAAAAACTAAACACAAATCTCTTTAATCTCTCTCTTAATCATTGTCACAAACTCAACAACGATATCTATAGTATAGAACTAGATCCATTACTAAATCCTATGATGAATATAAAACTTATTTTTCATATTCCTATTCGGATTAGACAATTTCCTTAAATAACTGAAAAACATAATTAAGTGGGAAAAATAGAAAGAAAATTAAAATTTGACTTGATTTTTGTAAAAGAGTATTTAACTTTGACTAGTTAAACTAAAACAACAATTTGATTATGTTGACAATTTAAAGTATTTGATTGTTTTGTGTCTAAATGATTAATTTTTGAGTTTAAATATAGTTTTTGGTATTATGTGTATTATTATTGTGTTTCTTTTAGGTTTTCTAGATATTTTGGCAAAACACCCCAAAAAAAATAGAGTTAATAGGCAAATTAGTACATTTTTTGAAAATAATTGGAAAACACATACATATACTATTTATAATTAGCAAACTAGTCAGTGGGGTCCATGGTGTGAAATAGAAACAATGTGAGACAGATAAAAAGAGAAGGAAAAAAATGACCAAGGAGGGTATTTTTTTTTTCTCTTTACCGATTTTGTTTTTGTTTTTGTTTTTTTTTCTTTTAAACATATTTACCCCAAAATTATAATAACTAAGATATTGGGTTTTACAATTTTTTTTTTTAAATCTTTTTTGATACACAAAAAATCTATGTTTTTTCTCTATCATATGATATGCATTTTGTTTAATTAATTTTAAATACATTTCATATATATATATATTTATTTGTACAATTTAGTATGTGTACAGACGTACTTGTACAGTTTAGTATGTGTACAGACGTATATGTACATCTGATTAGATGTACGTACATAACCGTACAGTTCCTTTAAGTGTACGAATGTATAAAAGATTACACATTTTTATCCATACAACCAATATAATATACCAAAATATGTATATTTATATACATTTGTACAATAATAAGCTGTACGGATGATATTATGTAGTAAAATAATAAACTGTACGGATAATATATTTTTGTACAACTGTACAGTAAATGTGATGTACTAATTATATTATTTAATTATTATAGTGGCAAACTTGTAAATAATATGTTTTCTGAGTGTTTAAATGTCAATGAAATAGTATCAAATAGTAAAAATGTACTAGTTTCCTAATTGTAAATAGTAAATGTATTAGTTGTATAATTAAGTTTCTAAAATGTACTAGTTTGCCTACTCACCCAAAAAAAATACACAATGTTACCGTATAAAGAAAGAAAATCAAAATATTTAAAGACTTTCTTGTTTCTCAAGAACTCATCTGAAACTTAAGTTTGGTCATTCAATCATATATGATAAGATAACAAGAAACATAAGATTGGTCTTTCAATCATGACAAGATAACAAGAAACTTAAGATTGTTCTTTCAATCATTATATTATAATCACAAAATTATGCACCACCCCTTGTTGGAATTTTGGAGATCATTGGCCAATTTATTCGCCCTCTCCAGTTCCTCCTTCAGCTTCTCAACCACACCACTTGATTTTTTCTCAACTTCAGTAGCTCTTTTCTCCATTTCAACTCTCGCAGCTTGTTCTTCGTTGAGCTTCTTCACTACATCACTCGACTGTTCCTCAGCTTCTTTTGTTCTTCTTTCCAATTCAAGTCTCGCAGCTTGCTCATCGTTCAGCTTCTTCACTACATCACTCGCTTGTTTCTCGGATTCCTTTGCCCTTTTCTCTAGTTCAACTCTCGCAGCTTGCTCTGCGTTCAGCTTCTGCTCTAGACTCTCTTTTGTCTCCCTCAGCTGAGTCTCCACCTAAGAAAAGAAACCAGAAGAATGTTACATAGGAATCATTAAGTTTTGGATATGAATCGTCATAAGATACTACCCTCTCCATCATGTGCTTGAGCTGTTCATTTTCAAAACACCTCTCCATATCTTTCTTGTTTAGAAGCACCTCTAGTCTTGAGTACCACCCCTTCATCTCTGAAACCTCCTTCTGCTTTATCTTGAAGGCAGCTTCATTTTCCTGTGAAACATATGTAATAACAAATAAGCAAATCAAAAGGACATCACCTAGAGATGTGTACCAACAAAACATTAACTATTTGTTATGCCTTACCCTTAACTCAAGAGATAAATCAGACATGTATGGTTTTCCATTTAACCTTGCAATTTCTTCTACACAGTTAAGAAGCTCCTGAACTTGCTTAGCTTTCTGACTCTCAGGGGCTTTAGACCTGTTTCTAAACAACACCTTGCGGCCACTACAAGCCTCGATAATTTCCTACATTACAACCATAAAACACAACTCAATAAGAGACACAAGAGAAAGTGAAAATGTATTGAATGAGGTTTAAAGATCTTTGGTACGTTAAAAATGAAGAAAGATATATACACTACTAACCTTGAAATCAGGACAACCATCCAAATAATCCTCAAATGTATCACTATCATCCTCGTCAAGGGAATCTTCGTTTGTGAAAACAACAATCATGTAGTTAGCAATTTCGCTTCCGAAAAGGACCTTTAATGCGAAAAGCGAAGATTTCTCCTCTTCTGTGAGCCGGTTCCTCAAGGAAAATACAAGAAGCACCGCGTCAATCCCTTCTTTACTTAGAGAGAAGCACCTCAGAATCTCTTTGCATGTAAACTCAGTTGATGGAGACAGACTAAACAGGCCTGCATAGGGTTAAGATTTTTAAAACTTTAATCTCATATAAGACTCATTGACTTGTATTAGACTAAACACATTACCTGGAGTATCAATAACATTGAGGATCTGGCCATTTGTTAGCGTCGAACTCTGCAGCTCACAGGCTGTAGTTACCCCTGACGCACGTCCTTTTGAGATGAATGCTCGTTTTCCAAGAATACTATTCCCGGTCGCACTTTTACTTTACCATTACCTGACCGTCCAACCAAAAGTAGGGTTCTTGCATGTTTCTGCTCTAAACGTGAATCACAAGTAACCTCCAAAACAGGTTCAGCCACAGGCAACGATTCTGAGACATTTGGGAACTCTATCAAGCAAACCTCCAAAACAGGTCCGTCCTCTTCCAAAGATTCTGAGTCCTTTGGTACATCTGTCAAGCCAACTTCCAAAACAAGTCCATCCTCTTGCAGAGATTCTGAGACCTTTGGTACCTCTGTCAAGCCAACTTCCAAAACAGGTCCATCCTTTTGCAAAGATTCTGAGATCTTTGGTACCTCTGTCAAGCCAACTTCCAAACCCGGTCCATCCTTTTCCATAGATTCTGAGACCTTTGGTACCTCTGTCAAGCCAACCTCCAAAATCGGACCATCCTCTGGCAAAGATTCTGAGACCTTTGGCAACTCTGTCAAGCCAACCTCCAAAGTCGGTCCATCTTCTCCCACAGATTCTGTAACCATTGGCAACTCTGCCAAATCCAAAGATATTCATGTCAAACAAAGAGCTAATAAAACCTTTGTAAAGGGTGGATCACTAAATCAAATAGGTTTTGTTTACAATACATTCTCGCTAACTCGCTATTTGTGTCACATCTTTTAGAGGGCCATTATATCAAAAGTATAGCTAATGAACTTTAACTACATCTCTAAAAGTAGTTCTCTGTTACGTATTCTATAGTAATATTCTTGCAAGACACAGATTAATATTCCAATTTGATAAGAGAAATAACAAGATTTAATGATACAAAGAGAAATAACAAGATTTAATGATATAGAGACTTACGTGAAGCATCAGGTAAGAAATCATCTGCTACTTGAGGTTCAGGTAGCAGAACAATCCTTTCACAAGTAACCTCTGAGACAGAACCATCCTCTGAGACAAGTAGCAACTCCGAAAACTCCAGATCTATAAGTATCATCAAACAAAGAAGTGAGGATAAAAACGCAAAAGAACATGACACGAGTTTATCAGTAAGGGAAATAGATTTACATGCATGCATGCATGATTCTAGTTTCAGTGAAGGAACTTAAATATATATGTGAATCTTCTGGTTTCAGAGTATAAGTTTCTTCTAATTCTAATATACTCTCTTCTTATTGTTTACAGTCATGAGTGCGAGAGAAATAGATTCAAGGAGATTAAAGAAACTAAAAACAAACCTGTAGTATTGGTTGAGAAATCATCTGCTGCTACTAATCCTCCACCCATTTGAAAGTTGAGTAAAGTTTCTTCTGAATACAGTGTAGATAAGTAAACTGTAGAATAGGTTAAATGGGTTTTATATAGAAGAAATAAAGAAAGACAAAACGAGATCTTTAGACTTTCTCGTATCTCAAGAACCCTTGTGTTTGGTTTTAAAGAAAGGAATATCAAAAGTCTCCTTTACTCTCAACTAAAGAATTGATGATGAGTGTTTTTGGTTTTTGTCTCGAGAAGTCATAGAGCCAGGACAGCTTTTCATCATTTATGTCAATATTGGGACGTTATAATAATTCCAATAAACTAAATAATAGCTCTAAATCCAAAACCAATCAGTGATTAACCAGTAAAAGCTTCTAAGTTAATAGATTTAAAACCAGCTAAGGATATATGAGATACATAAAGTTCATACAATACGATTGAAAAGATTGTCACTAGATAGAAAGAAATTATAACAATGAAACAAAGAATAATACATAAATAGCAAAATATTTAAAAAAATCCACTTCTACAAAACAGTTTTAAAACTTAAAAAGAACTAATAAGCATGAAAATAATTAGAAAATGATTATAAAGTTATTTTATAGTAAATTATTTTGAGCCAAACTAATGGTTTAAAAAAAAAAAATCAAAACATTAACAAAATGAAATAGATATTGTTTATGAGCTTTTAAAAGAATATTGTATATGCGGAATTCACCATAGAAACACTGTGGATACAGACCATATAGGTTTCACCATATTGAACCTCTCTATATACCTCTAATAAGAATATAGTGCTGCTTCCCATAGTACATTACTTAGTGAATATGCAATAAAGGCTACTCCATAGATGTGTAGATGCCAAATTTTAGAACATAGTCCATATGATATAGGCTATCCCATAAATAAACATTCTTAATGCTCTTGTGACTTTGTCTTGTGCAATTTAGTCCCATGGGTTGGTGTCATACAAAAATAGAAGTATATGTTTCTTCAACTCTCTTCTTACTACCCTTTCAACAACTCATCAATCTCATCTTTAGAGCTTATGATCAGGTTGAGGATGGGAAGATATAATCAAAGAATAGTGCACTTCTTCTCGTTAAGTTTGGTACGCAAGTCATCTGTCTCTTTCTCGGCTTTTTTGAGATCTTCTCTCAGCTGTTTGATCTCATCAGCCGATAGTTTCTGGCTTTCGTTCATCTTTTTCTCTGCTTCTTCTCTTCTGGCTTCCGCCTTCGATAGTTGCTCTTTCACTTCCCTCAAAGCTTCCTTTAACTGGTTAGAGACCTGACCAAGACACAACAGAATCAACATACGAAAGATCTAAACATCACATACCAGAGGAACTAGACAGACTATATAACCGATAAGGCGATAAATGTATTACCTTCTCTTCGGTTTCCTTAAGCATTTGCTTATATGAGTTCTTTAGCTCCTTCACTAGAGATGACTCCTTTTTAGAAGATACTTTCATTGCTTCAATATCCTTCTGCTTTTGTTGGAATGTGGCCTCATTCTCCTACGAAAGGATATCGAATTTTAACCAAATTCATACAATGAAATGTCAAAACATATTTTTAAAAGTTAAGTGTTCAAATCTTTTTCAACCCTTAGCTCAAGTGATAAGTCAGCCATGTATGATTTCCCATTGTTCTTCTTTGAGATTTGTTCAACAAGGTTGAGAAGATCTTGGAGTTGCTTGTCTTTCTTTCTTTCGGGGACATCGCGGCGATTATCAAACAACACCTTTCGGTTACCACATTCATTAAGAATGTCCTGAAAGCAATTTGAGAATTAGAAGATGTAAGAAATTTTAAGTTAATGTCAAGTACAAAAAAAGGAGAAAATTACATGGAACTCAGGACAATCTTCCAAATAATCATCAAGGGTTTCTCCTTCATCAAGTGCATCTCCATTGGTGAAAACAACAATCATATAGTCTACGATTTGACTACCGAAAAGGATCTTGAAAGTTCGAAGCGTTGATTGTTCCTCGTCTGTTAACCGAGCCCTCAAGGTGAAAACCAAAAGCACTGCATTGATTCCTTCTTTAGCAAGATGTAAGCATCTAACTATCTCTCTACTTGTGAACTCTGTAGTCAAGGAAGCACTAAACAAACCTACACGCACCATTGGCATTTTTAAGAAAATGTAGCATTTGATATTATTAATATTAACCAACATAGTACAAAACACATACCAGGTGTATCAATGACATTGACTTCAAGACCATTAGGTAGTGAGGATTTTACTAGCTCACATTCTTTAGTAATGTATGTTCCTCTTGCTTTTGACCGGAACCTAGTTTCTCCTAGGATGCTGTTTCCTGTTGCACTTTTACCGTTGCCTGTTTTACCGACCAGCACTAGAGTTCTTTCACGATGATGTTCCAATACTAGCGAATATGCAACACACAAACAAGAAAAAACATGTGATGGTTCTTGAAATCAGAAAGAAAGAACTAATAAAGAAGAGAGACATTACAATATAGTATGATCTTTACGGTAAGAATTGAAACTAACAAAACAAATTAAGCGGTAATAGAGTGAAAAACAATTTCATATGTGGAAGTAGTTCTATTCTATAGTAGTACATTGCTAATTGCAAAACAGATTCATACTCTCTTTTCTTTTTTACTCAAAACCAATAAGTTAAAGAAATATATTTGAAGGATCTAAAGAAAGCAAAACATACATTGACCACTTCCGATCTCATCTGCGACCAATCCTCCACCCATTTGAAAGAAAATCACAAGTAAATCTTAAAAACTAAGAGAGAGTCTTTAATTTTCTTTAAGAACTTATCCGAACCTTAACCATAAAAGAAGGAAATAGAGAAACTAAATTAAGTAGAGCACTACAAAAAGGAAGGAATACCAATAGTCCCTACTGACAAAAGCTATTAGTCCCAATGAGAGTGTTTTGTTGTCTCGAGAATGTAAAGAGGACATGCATGACTCTTGTAATAACTCATTTGGTAAAACATCCCCTGTACATTATGTATAGATCTAGATAATCTTAATAGATAGATAAACTGATCTGTCAAAACTAATACCAAACGAAATGGTGTAACTTAAGGGCATCTCCAACCCCACTCTATTTTAGAGTAACATTTGCTCCAACCCTACTCTATATCAATTTTAAGCACACTACATGAAAAAGTAAGGTTTACATTAAGAGTAACTCTACTAGAGCAACTCTATTTTCTACACTACCTCTATTCTAGAGTAAGAAAGAGTAATACATTAGAGCAAAACAATGCTCTATTTTTGAGAAAAAAATAGAGATATGCATTGGAGATGGTCTAAATAGATGGATGATTAATTGTAATGGTGAGTGCTTCAAATAGCAATGAAAAGGTAGCCAAATCCCTTAAAAGTGTAGTTTAATTTTCTTATAATCATAAAACTAGATAACTGATAGAAAGAAAAATACCAAATCAAACTCATATTGTACGTTGAGTTCTCAAGGTCGCACAAGTTTGAAAGAACATTAAAGAACGATGCAACTTCCTCCTTCCTTTTTCTTGAGTTCTTTTTCTGCCTCCGCGAGTTTCTTCTTCAGCTTCGAAATCTGTTTTTTCGCCTTTTCTTCTGCTTCAAGTCTTGCAGTTTGCTCCTCATTTAGTTTCTTCTCCAGCCAACTTGTTGTTTCTTCCACCTGAGCAATAACAAAGAGGACCAATGTAAACCTTAAAAAAAAATATAAATTTTTTTTACCATCATGATCATCAATTCTCTAAAGAATTGTCCAAGAAACATGTTCACATTGCGAAGCCTTTTGTCTCATAAGTTACTTCATGTGATTCTATCTGATGAGACAACCATAGAGATGGACTTGAAAACACCTTACCTTCTCTACCCTTCGGCTGAACTCATGATGAGGTGAATTCTCTTGTTTTGTGTAATGACCCTTCATTTCTATAATCTTTTTCTTCTTTTCTTCAACTACAGCCTCATTTTCCTAATTAAGATAGAGATGGTTACTGATACACATTCAAAAGACATCGAAAAGGGAACATGTGTTACCAAAAAAAGTTACCATAGGCTTATGAGATAAATCAAGAAGAAATGGTTTTTTGTTGTTCTTCCTCACAACTTCTTCAACAAGTTGTAGAAGCTCCTGAACTTGCTTGGCTTTCTTGCGCTTAACTATTTTGAGCCTATTATCAAAGAGAACCTTGCGGTTGTTGCACGCCGCAATAATTTCCTAAGAACCATAAACAAATCAATTGATAGATGTAAGTCAAAAGAGAAGGTGAAAACATTTTAGAAAGTTTTGCCCTTGCTCGTTGTTTCAATAGTAATTAACCTTGAAATCAGGAGAGCCCTCCAAATAGCCATCCAAAGTCTCATTGCTATCACTAAGTGAGTCCTCATTGGTGAAAACAACAATCAAGTAGTCAACAATGTCATCTCCAAAAATGACCTTTAACACAGAAATAACAGATTTCTCCTCTTCTGTTAGCCTACTTTTCAAGGAAAAAACCATAAGCACCGCACTGATCCCCTCTTTGGCTAGACGAAAGCATTTTAATATTTCTCTTATGGTAGACTCATTTGAGGGGAGCAAACTATAAAGTCCTGCAAAACAAATCATGATTCAACATGTTTAACATTGCATTGTTGTTAATGGCTGATCTCTTGAAACTTCATATGAACAAAAAGTTTATACAAACACACACACACACACACAAACCAGGAGTATCAATAACATTGATGATCTGTCCATTTGGTCGCTTAGTAGTCTTTAGCTCACATTCTTTGGTAACAGCTGCTGCCCTTACTTTCGACTCGAATGCCTCTCTTCGGAGAATGCTATTCCCAGTCGCGCTTTTCCCATTGCCCGAACAGCCAAGTAGGACTAAGGTTCTTGCAGGTTTCAGTAGTAAATCAGAAGCACGAGAAGCTTCAGAGAAATAAGAAACCTCTGTCAAAGCCAAATCTATAAATGTCATATCAAGAACCAGATCTATTAAAGCTTTCTACTTGTGTTATTATTTTATATAAGGCTCTCGTTTTATACTTTTAAATCTTATAGAAACGATTTTTTACTTCTTGGAACACTTGGCATAATGAAAATACATAAATCACTACATTTAGAAACAAACAATCAAACTCATGTATGACTTGTCTTTTCACCAACAGTGGAAATAGACATTGTAATCTTATTTTGAGTATATGCACAAACAAGAGATATATGGTATTGGTATATACATATATTGCACGATTCTTAGTAGCTCTCTCTACTTGTGTTTCATTTCTTATACAACATTTGGGTAGTGAGACTTAAGAACATCTACTACATCCTCTATGATAATTCTACATATCTACTAATTTCAAGATTGATTCGTACTCTCTTTTTTGCCATAATGAAATAAGTGACATACCTTGACCAGGTTCGAAGTCATCTAGGCCTCCACCCATTTGAAAGTTGATAACAAAGTAAATCTTAAAAAATATATTAATTCAAGGAATATATGTAGAGATCTTTCGACTCTCTCTTTTCTCAAGAACTCATCCGAACCTTACATAAAAAAGAGAGAAATGGAGAAACTAAATAAGTTGCCTCCAAAATTATGATTAAAAAGGAATACAAAAAAAAAAAAAGGAATATCAAAGGTCTCATTTGATACATGTGGTTGAATATGTTTAGTTCCATGATAGTTTTGTTGTCTCGAGAATGCCCGATACGCTTTCTCCAATGATAGTTCCAATGCATGCATTATGCATACATGGTTTTAATAAACCCTTATGGAGTAATTAACTAATTAATGATCCACTATAAAAAGATGTATTATAATTTTCCAATTAAACAATTGGAAAATTTATTAGGAGACTAATTAAGACAATCTCCAATGCCTATCTCTATTTCTTTCTCTAAAATAGATTAACTCTGAAATAGAGCATTGTTTTGCTCCAATATATTACTATGTATCTTTCTAAAATAGAGGTAGTGTAAAAAAAATAGAGTAGAGAATAGAGTTACTCTATATTTAGAGGAACTTTATAATTTACTCTATTTTAGAGCAAGATATAGTAGGGTTGAAGCAAATGTTACTCTAAAATAGAGTTTTGACTTTAAAATAGAGTGGGGTTGGAGATGCCCTAAGGAGGAAAAATAGAGTGGGATTGGAGATGCCCTAAGGAGGAAAGAGATCTTTCAATTCATCTAGCATATCATAGTTTGATTGGACTATTTACAAAAAAAGATCAAGGATTCGAGATCATAGTGGTCATCATTGGTTGATGCACTTCCGTAACATAATTTGTATGGAGTTCGAATGTCCAAATAATGGTGAATATTACAAAAGTGATGGTGCGATTTTATCATGGATACAAAACAAAAAAAAATGAACAAAAAATTTGTTGAGATTGTTGTTTAGTTCATGATTGGTATGTCTTCTCAGCTATGCAGAAATGAAGAAACCAAGTCAGGGACGACGGTCCAAATTTTGATCAGTTTGTAATATAAATCTATGTAATGCATATTTTTTTCTTTTCTTTTTGGGATATGAAAACTCAATAAAATTCAAGAACACAAGAAAATAATATGCATGAGCATTTTGGATCGAGGCAATTGATATCAAAATTCATTTCTGTAATGTTTTGAGTAAAAAAAAAAAGAGGACTGCCACTGTCTTAGGATCTAGCAACTCTTCTATATGAATATCAAATACAAAGAAATGAAAACCTCAACAGATTGATGTATTTAAGGATCTCCTAGGCGGTTTAATTCCGGTTTAATGAAACCCAGGCGGTTCTCCCCCAAATCGGAGTGAAAAATTTAGGGTTTAATGATGGGTTTTGCTTGTACCACAATCATCAGCACAAATCTTCATCACACCAACACTACTTTTGTTCTGTTCGATCATCTCTCCAGTTCTTATTTTCATAAGATTGAAAACAAAGATCTGATCTGGTTTTAGTAGTTAACAGAGATCAAGTCTCTTTCACAAAACATGTCCTTATAGAAGACTGTCGTTATAAAGAACTGAAACTTGGTTCTCTCTCACAACACCAAAGACCAGAGATCATCACTTTAGAGGTTGTTGTGTCTGTTCACCATCATCATCATCATCCTCCTCCTTCCAGTATGTCTCCAGAATCTCCAAAGCCTTCTCGTAGATCTCATTGCTTCTGTGGTGTTTCAGTTTCAAAATCTTTTCTAACCCTTCCGCATCTTCAATCATCTGGGAGTAGTCTTCTTCTTCCACGTCTCCGGCCCTCAAAATGTTTTCCAATCCATTCAGACACTTTAATACGATTCCTGGTTTGTCCATATCCAGGAGATCACACAAAAGCTTTATGCAACCCTGCTTCACCAAGTACTTGATTTGATCATGAGAACCACCTGAGGTTGCATTTGAAATTGCACATACAGCTTTTTCCTTAATCATAATTTCAGCATTTTGAGCCAAACTGACCAATGTTGGAATCAGATTTGCATCTATCACTGACTGTAAAGAGAGAGAGAGAGCATATAGAAAACGATTAGTGATGATAACAACAAAAGGGCAAACTAGTTTTTATGTTATCTGCAACACTCACTTGAATTTGTTCTTCAGTGCCTGCAGTGATGTTTGAAATCGTCCAGCAAGTTTTCCACTGTGTAACATGGTTTCGAGTAAACAGGTTTGCAAGAAGAGGTAAAACACCATGATCTATCACAACCTGACAAAAATAAGTTCAAAGAGTCTTTTGGTTACAACATGCAATATCTAAACCAAACAAGAAGTGTTTTAAAAGGTAACATAGAAGTTACATACTTGGGTCTGTTGATTATCTCCATTAGTTAGATCCAAAATGATACTTAATGCAAGAACAATCACCATTGGAGAAACGTGTCTGCAAAAAGAAAGAAACAAAACATGTTCAGCCTTCATTATCTAAACATGTAGCAAAAGGCTTGTTTTGGAGTAAGTAGTACTAACCCGAGAAGCTGGACTAGTCTTTGGACAAGACCAGCGTCGATAAAACTCTGGATGTTTTCTTTTGAACCATCAGATAGATAATGAAGTGCAGAACAAGCATTTAACAAAAAGAAACCATTATTTCTATGAAGAACTTGCTGAAGTGCAGAGAGAGCAGGTTTCATCTGTTTAGTCATGTTTCTATAAGTTAATGTATACAAAACTGAGGAAACAAAACATGGAGCGAGAGAGAAGCTACAAGACCTGGTGAAAGGGAAGCTGAGGCTTGCCAGAGCAAAAATTTGCCAAAGTCCAAGAAGCCACATCAACCAAGTCCTTCTGATTATTGTCATGGAACTGAGCCAACAGTGGACTCAATGCACCACACCGTAGAACATAGTCACGGGATTGTATAGAAGCTCTAACAACATTACCTAGTGCCCAAGTAACCTAAAAAATTATGGTACAACATCAAAATCCCAACTCTTATATGTCTCGCATTCATATATCTACAATAAGTAAATTACCTGAAAATGGACATCAGAATCATCAGTAGCACCAGCAAGAAGATGGATAAAGATTTGAACAGCACCGTGATCAATAAGAACTTTGGTGTTCTTTTGAGAAACGTGTCTTAGAACGGAAGCAGCAACGTACTAGAGAAGTAAAGATCATTGGAGTGATATCAGAAGTGACCAATCATTACAAAATATCAAACTGATGGGAGCTTTGTTCTTCTAACCTGAAACATGACTGAATCTTCCTTCTTAAGAAACTCAATGAAACGAGGCACAACTCCAGAGTTTACTATCTCATCGATAGGAATGTTTCCCTCTAGGAACAAGAAACTTAAAGAAACATTGAGATCGAGAAACAAGAAAAGTAAAGAAAGTAAAACAGAGGAAGTTCAAAGTTGTGTACTTTCAAACATGGAAGCGTATTTGAACTGTATCGATGGATCTTTTGAGAAAACACCATCTAACATTTCTTGGGTCACCTACGTGAATAAACAATCAAAACCCTAAACCAGAGATGCATTGATTGATTACTTGTGAGACACGTTTAGACGAACCTCTTTCTTGGCTTTGGGGTTTAGAGCCATGGCTTTCTCTCTTCTTTGACTTCTCTTCCAAGCGATTCACAAAAATTGAAGGGAGAAACAAAAATCTCAACTGAGAAGTGAAAGAGCCAAAGAACCTTTGCAATTGAACTGAGCAAGAACATGGAAACAAGAATGGTCGAAGGAGCGAAATAAAAAAACAAAGAGCAGATGAATTTAAAGAAGCGAAACCGGTTTGGTTTAATTAAAACTTGGATTTTAAATCCGGTTTAATCCAATTCAGTTTAATTAAACTCTGATTTCAATCATTACAATATATCAACTGATGAGTGATATTGTTTTCTTTGTTGCAGGATTTAATCAAGAACTCAAATCTCAACAAAAACTCAAAAACAATTACAAATTGTCATGTGGAAAGTTAATCTCTCAAGGGGTTCTCAAGAGTTTTTAAAATTTATCTTAAATTAGAAGTGATAGAGAGTCTCTATATATAGGATAAAAAAATTATAATATGATTTAATAAAATAAAAATATATAGTTAAAATTTAAATCTCATTTTTACGTAATTAATTTCAGATTAGTGTGTATGGACTAAAATAACACTATTAATTTAGTACTGCTATAGTTTTAACTAATATTAATCTAAAATAATATTTAAATTTACGCAAAATAGAATTTGGTAAATCGATAATTTATTTTATAATTATAAGAAAATAGTAATGAAATATAAACTACTATGTTAACTTCGCAAAAAAAATTGTGAATTTAATTTATCATAATAAAATCTGAACAATTTATGAATAGACATGTGTCTCACCTAAGAGGTTATTAAAATCTGCTCAATTTTCATCTTTTTAGAAAAGTCGGTCTATTTCCACACTCCCTGAAAAGATTTCGAATGATATATCATGACAACTCTAACCAAGATATTCCTGGATTGTCTCTTTTATTTCTATAACCTTGTCTACGTAGTAAATCATAATAATGCAATTAATGATTTTATCACCAATTGTTTTTCAACCGAAAAACTATACAATTGGAAAGACGGGATTTTGTCTAGAAAAATAAAATATTGCATCTATGCTATTTTCCGAAATGCTTGTACACTTCTTTCGAAAAAACCAATAATGTTGCATATATCCCATTTCTTATTAAGTTAGTGTTGTGATTACACTTTGGCTTTAGTTCATAAAATGCACAAAATATTTTGAAACAAAAACTTTTAACATTAATTTAACACTTTCATGTTGAATAATTGCTTCTTCGTCAAGTTTTTCTTTTGTTGTAAATACATATATTTTGATAAAATGACTTTTTCAGTTCTTTAAGTTTTGAATATAATGATATAAAAAAATTTCTTAAAAAAACTTGTACCATAGAAGTTTAAAAAGGCTAAAAGATGATTAATATATATAGGTATAGCTAGCCATGAAAACATGTGTGCAATCTAAGCAAACAATATAAAGAGACTTCAGATCGGCGATATCGAGGTTACCCAAAATCATGATTCACATATAAAGCTCGGTGAACGTCATCTTCCGCAAGGTGCTCGACAACAAGGATTGAATATTACTTAAGGAATGCGAGCGACAGCTGCTTGACGTTGTCGATCGAGTTTTTCGAGAGGCTTGAGAACCATCCCACGGCGTCGCCGCTTAGCATCTCGGTAAATAATTTATAGTTTTTATTATTGACATTTCCCAACATATGGTGATGGATATGAAGACAATTTATATTGTTTGCTTGATTTTTACTAAGACCCTAATAATGATTATGTGAGGATATGGATGTATATACTACACTACTAAGCAATTAGCATGTTCAATAATATAGTCATGTACTTAAATGATATGGTTAAGGAAAGAGTCATAAGATATGAGTTGAACAATTGGTATTATTGGAAACGGGTTATACTCCCTCTATTTCAATTCAATTGGTGTTTAAGATTTTGGCACACTAATTAATAAAATATATAACTTACCAATTTTCTATAAAAATATCATTAACTAATATGAATTCAATCAATAAAAAAATATGATGTAAAATATAATTGGTCAAAAAATTTTAAATACATTAAATTTTTGTATAGGAAATTGAAAACATCATTTATATTAAAACAAAAAAAAATTGGCTAAAACATCACTTATAATAAAAGATGGAGTATAAGATAAGAACTTGGAGTTTGAGTTTGTGTAGCCTTTTGAGGCTACAAGGGTCACCGAAATGCCTTACCAATCATGAGCACTGCCTTTTCATCTCATTTTATTTTTTCCTGTAAGACATTTTAACGTGACATATCACTTGTTTCTAAGCAACAACAATGTGCAAAAGATCGATCGATCTCTTGAAAATTTTACCATCTTTGTGTTTGCAAGTTGCAACCTCATTCCACAAGATCATCTCTCACATTAGATGGAGGAACAAGATTTTTAACCACATAACTAAACAAAACACAGTGGCCACACCTATCATCTTGGCTTATAAATAAAGTATCTCTTCTTGATTGAGCTACTCTCTTCGGTTCTTTACTGGTTCATCAACTATTAGGCTTCAATGGTCTATTAGATCCCAATGAATCAAAACGGATGAATTGTGTTCGTCCGCTCTGATACCATCTTAGATGAATGATGAATCAAGAAAAGTTGTTACAAAGAAGACGATTAGTTCTCATTCTCATTCAACTTGATGGTTTACATTTACACTGAACTACAGAGAGAGAGCTTGCTTTACAGAGAGTAAACCAAGACTAACCAAACCGGTTAACATAACCAATATCAAATACTCTAATTTTGCTATTAACAAACAGGTCATGTGCGTACCCAAGTCACTCAATTCTCTTTTCTTTTGATTAAAGAAACAATCTTTACATGACAAAACTATCACTCAAGGGTTAAAAATGGCTAATCTTTGATGATTCTAATAAACCATACAACATAAGTTTTCCTAAGAACAAAATACAAAAATTATGTTCGTAACATTAATATGTTGAGAGTCAGACAAAAACATACTCCAATTTATTTGAAAGAACAGAGTAATGAGAACATAAAAAAAAAAATCCCAGAAATATCCACACAAAAGACGAAACAATTAACAGACTTTGGCTGCTTTGTCTTAAATCTGAATCGTCCTTATTCACAAATCGTAATCAATGACACCGTTATGCTTCTTCTTCTTCTTCATCATCCACTCTTCTTATTATTCCTCTCTCTATATCCTCAAGTCAAGATCTTTTCAGTTCATGGACAAGAATCTCTTGAAATCTTCTTCTGTGGGTTGAATTGAGAGGGTTTTGAGAAGATGGGTAACAGAGTAATATGTATGAAGAAGAAAGATGTTGTTATCAGAAGTGGAGGAGATGGATCTAGAAGCAAGAGAGTGAATCGTTCACAGAGGAAACTGCTTGCTGATGAAGAGACTTTGCATCGTAGAGCTTTGTCTATGGCTATTCATCAAGCTCAGGGTTCTCAGAGATTTGATGGATCTATGTCTAGACGTGTTGGGTCTACTAGCTCTAGAAGACAAACACTCTCTGACCCATTTGCTAATAACAAACAGGTCCAAGCTTTTTTTCTGTAGTATTGATAAAGTTTGGATTTTTAGAGTTGGGTCCTTGTCAATTTTTCTGACTTTCCTAAATTTTATGATGGTTAGATGATTTGTTGGGTTGGAAAAGAGATCAAAAGTGTTTAAAGGTTGAAGCTTTGATATTGACATTAGGTTGGGACCAAAACTAGTGTAATAGAGCAGAACAAAGTGTTCTCAAAAGTTCTTGTAGTGCGCTTTGCTTTTTAAAAGTTGAAATAGTGATGTTTTCATGTTAATCAACTGGTCTGTCTCGTTGTTATTAGAACAAAGATGGAGAAAAGAAGCTTCTTTTTGGAGAAAGCAGAGAACTTTGTTCATGTTAATGTCAGTTATGTGTAATTAAGTCTAGTATCTTTTATTATGTTTGACTTTACTGATTCTAGTATCTTTGTAAACGTTGGCTAAGTGTTCTCGAACGTTCTTGTAGTGGCTTTGCTTCTAAAAAGTTTACATACAGTAGTTGTTGTCATAGTACTCTACGGGTATATCTTGTTTTGGTTAGAATGACAAGTGAAAAAGAAGCTTCTTTGTGGTTATTGCAATAAGTTTTATTGGAAACTTGAAAGCAGGGGACTTTGTTCGAGTACTTGAGATTTTGTTCATGATTGGTTCCTGTCACACATAGATGTCATCGCTTTGTAATTCGTCATTACCTGTTACTATGAGATTAGAAAACACTTATTTATGTTCAATTTTAGTTATGCTAGTTGTATTGTATCTCTTCAGGTACCTGAGTTTTTGGAGAGCTTGGCTGTTAAGAAATTCGTTTTGGTTCATGGTGAAGGGTTTGGGGCATGGTGTTGGTACAAAACTGTTGCTTCATTAGAAGAGTCTGGACTATTTCCTGTCACAGTTGACCTCACTGGATCTGGAATTAATATGACTGATGCAAATACTGTTTCCACCTTAGAAGAATATTCAAAACCGTTGATCGAGCTCATTCAAAATCTTCCTGAGGAAGAAAAGGTTAGACATTGCTCACATATAGATAATTAGGTTCTTAGGTTTATGTTGGAACTTGGAAACAAGTGTCAATGTAACTACATTGAACCTCAGCTGTTTCGGTTTCTTAACAATATTCTAAGGAAGGTTTACAATTTCCATGTGAATTCTGGTGTCATCTTGATATTTCATTTTGATATACTAGTGTGACGCAATGAGTGTTGATTGTTTCAGGTCATACTAGTGGGTCACAGTACTGGAGGTGCATGTGTTTCATATGCGTTAGAGCGGTTTCCAGAGAAAATCTCAAAAGCTATATTCATATGTGCTACTATGGTTTCTGATGGACAAAGACCCTTTGATGTCTTTGCTGATGAGGTAACACTAGCATGTTTTATTCAAACATGCGTTTTGAGTGTATTTTCTTGTTTCAGTACAAGGATGATTAGTTCACATAAAAAGATTTCACATTTCTTGATTTGAACAAAGGTATGTTCTTTGTTTTTGTGTCTGCA